CCCCCATTCCCCCAGCCCCCCCACGGCTGCCCCACCTGCCCTAGCTCTGGTCCTTTAAGAAAAAAACAAATGAGAAAAACCCCAGGACTTACTGCTCCTGGATGGCCCCTGGGCTTCGGGGTGTCAGGTTTGACCTAGAAACCACTACACATAGCCCAAGCAAAAGTCTCTGTTATGTAACTAATGCCCAACTGCAATGATAAGGAGAAGACAGTCTTAGATAAAGGAGGCTTGAAAACAAAAACAGAATTAGTGGACTAGGGCAAAGAGCTGATTTAAATATTAAGATTCACACCCCTAGGTGGGGAGAAAGTATGCTAATGAAACATACATGTATGGAAATGAGATACATAGCTAAAACACAGGTATAGAGACATGCTCAGTAAAGAACTCCTTGCGTCACTCCCTTATAACCAATTAGCAAACAAGAATGCTTATGAAGGTCCAATACTCCTGTATAAAAGATGCTTAGAATTAAGAATCTGTGTGCTTGTTACGTGAAATTATTCTGCTTGCACCTTGTATTGCTAGCAATAAATCTTTATACTTTCACCCCTGGTATCTTTATTGGCTTTTGCATACCGGGCACGATCCCAGACTTGAGCTGGGGCTCAACAGGGGGGCTTGTGAAGAGCCCCCCACATGGTGTGGGGCAGTGGGGGGGAGTGGGGATTGCCGCCCCCCACCTGGCAGCACCTGGTTAGTTTTGGGGGCTTTTTTTTCAAAGTGCAGGGAGCTGGGGTGGGTGGGGCAGCCATTGCTGGGGCTGGGAGAGTGGGCAGGGGATGGGCCTAGGTGATGTGAAGATTCGGAGATTTGGCAGCAGCTGAATCTCTGAATCAGATTCATGTGAATCGCTTCGGGACAGTGATTCAAATCACTGAATTGAATCACTGTCCCCCGAATGGCCTGAATCCAAATCTAAAGCCAATCCTAGCCGCTTTGCACAGGCCGAATGTTCAGTCCCTTGATGATTGTAGCTTCTTCTAGAGAGCAACATATAAAAACTACTGCAGACTGCCTAACACCTCAATGAGGGAATATTTCTGCAAAGTTAATGTCCCTCAGCCTGTCTTCAACCAAGGAGTACCCACAAGGCAATGGGGGCTAGGGCTTTTAGGTGCCCTATACCAGTGTTTCCCAACCGGTGTGCCATGGCACACTGGTGTGCCGTGAGGCACGTCCAGGTGTACTGTGGAATTTTGGGCTGGAGCCATGCCCCCAGCCTGCTGCCACCGTGGACGCACAGACAGACAGGAGGGCGTGGCTCCAGCCAGTGATTTGCATCCGCGCGCTGTGTTCAGCTGTGTCACCCCACACTGTTGCTTCATGCCCGACCACTTGCCTCTTCACTCTCTCCCCGCTCCTCTGCATTTGGCTGGTATGCCGCGGGATGGGAGAGGCCCGGTCAATGTGCTGCCCGAATCAAAAGGTTGGGAAATGCTGCTCTATAATAACTTTACTCTGAATATTGCAACATTATGGCATTTTATAGGAGCTATCCCACCACAAATAGCCCCACCATGTTGCCACCAGCCCTTCCAGTTGGATGCAGTTTACAGTTATATGTTATACTAGCCAACTGCTCATCAGGAATGATGGGGTGGGGGGGTGGGCGGGGATGGAGCCCCGTGCCCCCACCCCCCGGGCCCACTCTCCCCTCCCCCTTCCCTCCTGCTGCTTGGGGTCCGGGCCTGCTCCCCCCCTCCCCGCCACAGTGGAAGGGAGAAGGGAGGAGTGGGCCCAGGCCCGATGCAGGGGAGGACTAGGTTTGAGGGTGGGGATAAGCCAGGATGCTGGGTGGGGGGGAACAGTGGGCCCAGGCTGACCCAATGGTGGTGGGGGGACAGGAGGAGCGGACTTGGGGCCGATGTGGGGGAGTGGGAGAGTGGGCCTGGGCTCTCTCCTCCCCCCACAGTGGAAGGGAGAAGGGAGGAGTGGGCCCAGGCCCGATGCAGGGGAGGACTAGGTTTGAGGGTGGGGATAAGCCAGGATGCTGGGTGGGGGGGAACAGTGGGCCCAGGCTGACCCAATGGTGGTGGGGGGACAGGAGGAGCGGACTTGGGGCCGATGTGGGGGAGTGGGAGAGTGGGCCTGGGCTCTCTCCTCCCCTCCCCCCACAGCTGCCATGTTGGGCTGGGCCAGGCCGGGCCAAGCCCACTGACCCCACTCTCCACCACTGTTGTGGCGGGGGTGGCGTATCCTGGTTCAGGCTTGTTCCCTCCCCCTGCATCGATCCAAGCCCAGTCATTCCCTGGCCGCACCATTACCACCGATGCCATGGCATGCCTGCT